ATAATTTAGAGCCAAGAGGGTACTTAGAGATCATCTGTTCTGACCTCTCTATTTTAGAGAGAAGGAAACTGAGCCCAAAGAGGTAAAGTGATTTGCATAATATCATATAGGTAATAAGTAGCAGAACTGGGATTCCAATCCAAGGCTTTTCCACTATGCCATTCTGAGTAGTGGTTGAAGGAACTGTGGATGTTTTAACTGGACAAAAGAAGATTCAGAGGGTATGTAACTATTTTCATTTTAGTAGCTAGGGACACTTGTAGACTGGTATAGTTTTAGGGGTAGTGAGAACATGTAGGGAATTTGATAGCTGCGGATGCACCTCAACAATTCAATTGGATGGGTGTGGGAGCTGCTTGTAATATACTGTAACAGGGGACTGAGTATCAGAAGGCAGCTCATGATGGAGCTAGGCCTCATTATTCTACAGTGATGGAGTATAATTTTTGTGAGGTTTGAACATGAGAAAGAGAACTGGATGCCTCACAACACAGAAATAGCCATGTCTACTCAAAAAGTCAAGGCCCACTGCCCCATGGGGTTTTGTGTCTCTCTAAATGGTTTGGTCTTCTTGACTGAGTTTTAAGGAACCATCTTGTCTATTTCCCAAAGACAGTGCCAGCCAAGGACTACCATTAGTTGTGTCTGCGTGGGCCTCTAAAAGCAGTTGGTAAAGAGAGCCAGGATACTAGTATTTAGCAAGGAGAATCTGCCTTACATGTGAAGAATGTCCATATGCTCAGCTGTCTACCACTTGTGCAAACATACCCAGGTCTGCCGACTAGGGCATCTAGAATATTGACATTTTAAATATTTGATGTGTTGTCATGCCAAAGAAAGATTATATTTAGTACATTTAGTAACAGGTAGAAAATAGAATATTCTTTTTTTTTTGCTTTTTGTTGAGGTGATTGAGGTTAAGTGACTTGCTCAGGGTCACATAGCTAGTAAGTGTTAAGTGTCTGAGGCTGCATTTGAACTCAGGTCCTCCTGACTATTCACTGTGCCATCTATCTACCCCCATTTTTTTTCTATAATTTTTTTTATTAATTTCAATCTCTTCTTGGAATGATCCTTTTACTTTTTTTTTTTTTTGGCTAGGCAATGGAGTTAAGTGACATGCAAGTGTCTGCGGCCACATTTGAACTCAGAGTCCTCCTGACTCCAGGGCCAGTGCTCTATCCACTGCGCCACTTAGCTGGCTCAGAAAATAAAATAATTCTTTATCAGCACCAATTCCTCTTAGAATTCTTAGCTATTTCCAAGTCCAACTCAGGTACTATCTCCAACAGGAAACCTTTCCAGATTCACTTATTAGAGCTGTATCCTGACTCAAATTATAGTGGATTAAATTAATCTGTTTAAATATTGTATCCTGAGGGGCAGCTAGGTGGCACAGTGGATAGAGCTCTGGCCTTGGAGTTAGGAGGGTTCAAATCCAGTCTCAGACACATGACACTTACTAGCTGTGTGACCCTGGGCAAGTCACTTAACCCTGATTGCCTCACCAATAAATAAATAAATGAATGAATGAATGAATGAGTAAGTAAATATTGTATCCTCCCAGTAGAAGCTCCTTAAAGGCAGGAACTATTTTTTATTTTGCCTTTGTACCACCAGTGCCTTATACTACATACACAGTGAGTACTTAAGAAATGCTTCTTTTCCTTTCCTCTTATTCTTAACCTCTACCTTTTGAAAGTAGATCTTTTCAATGCCATATCGGACAAGCCACTTGGCATCTTATCTACATGACAAATGAGGCAATTTAAACCGATTTAGTGATGTCTGACTGTTTTTTCCTATCTTAAGAGATTTGGAGGAGTCTTAAACAAGTAGTTATCAAGGTTTCACAACTACCTAAATTCCAAGAACTGAACTAGTTGTTATATTCAAGGGCTGTTTGTAGAAATATTCAACACTGGAAGAACAAAAGGTCAAGAATATCAAAAAAAACTAATGGAAAAAATTGTAAAGGAAGACGGTTCAGTAGTACCAGATCTTTGTATTATAAGGCAGTAATTATCGAAACTATCTGGCAATGGCTAAGAAATAGGAAGGTAGATCAGTGGAACTGAGCAGACGTACAATTTACAGTAGCAGACCAATGTAGTAACCTAGTATTTGATAAGCATAAAGACTTACATTTTAGGGATAAGAATTCATCATTTAGTAAAAATTGTTGGGAAAGCTAGGAAGCAGTCTGGCAGAAATTGGTCATAGACCAATATCTTATATCATTTACCAAGATACGGTCAAAATGGATATACTGACCTAGATATAAAGGGAGATATATTACAAGAAAATTTGAAGAACATGGAACATATTACCTAGCAGACTTATGGACAGGTGAACAATTTATGAATAAAGAGATAGAGAGCATTGTGAAATGTAGAATGAGTAATTTTGATTACATCAAATTAAAAAGGTTTTGTACAAATAAAACAAATGTGGCCAAGATCATTAGGAAAGCAGAAAATTGGGGAAAAATTTTATAGACAGTTCCTCAGATAAAGGTCTCACACCTTAAATATAGAATTTTGTCAAATCTATAAGAATGCCAGTCATTCCCCAACTGACAAATAGTCAAAGGATATGAACAGGGAGTTTTCTGATGAAGAAATTAAAAAGATTTATAGTCATATGAAAAAATGCTCTAAATCATTATTGATTAGAGAAATGTAAATTAAAACAACCTTGAAATACCATTTTATACCTATTGGATTGGCTAAAATGATAGGGAAGGTGACAAATGTTGGAGATGTGGAAAAACTGGGACCCTAATTCATCGTTGGTGGATCTGTGAGCTGATCCAACCATTTTGCAGAGCAATCTGGAATTATGCCCAAAGAGTTACTAAACTGTCTGTGCCCCTTGACCAGTAATACCACTATTAGGTCTATTTCCCAAGATGACTAGAAAAAAAAGGAGGAAAAGAACCCATGTATTCTAAAATATTTATAGCATCCCTTTGTGGTGGCAAAGAACTGGAAATTGCAGGGATGCCGGTCAGTTGGGGAATGGCTAAACAAATTCTAGTACATGTTCATGACGGACTATTAATTACTCTGCTGTAAGAAATAATGAGCTCAATGATTTTAGAAAAGCATGGAGACACCTGTACGAAGTAAATTTCTAACTATTACAAATATCCAAGTTAACTGCAAAAACCCTATGAAGGAAGATGCTGTTTGCATCCAGAGAAAGAGATGACATGTATGTGTATGTGTATATGTGTGTGTGTGTGTGTGTGTGTGTGTGTGTGTGTATGTATGCATATATGCATATTTGTGTCTAATAGAAGCTATCTCTAGGGTAAGGAGTAAGGGAGAGGGGGAAAAAGGAAGTTATATGATACCTTTGCTGTATATTTGAAAGGAATAGAAAGCTGTGCATAATAAATCTGCAGTTTCAGGTGCAATCCTCTGTTTTTTTATTCCACTTCGTTATAGAAATGCTTGTTTTAATTCTTAAGTTCAGAATAAAGAAAAGTTAAAAAAAAAAGAAAAAGTTAACACAATGAAAGTCCAGTCATCATTACAATAGTCACAACAAATCAATGCATACACTCCACAAAAAACTGAAAGACAGCACAGCTGCAACATCTCAGCTCCTCTATTGCTAATAACCCCCACTCCCATGTTCCTTCTCTCTACATCTCCATTCCCTGTTCATTGTCCTGTGTAGTGATTTAGTAAGAGAAACTGCTACCACTTACTCTCCCGGCGTCATAAGAATTTCCAAGTTTTGTTATGACAAAATGTGTTATGCTGGCTTTTCTTTAAAAAAAAAAACTTGTTCAATTGAAATCACAAAGAGGCAGATTTCTGCTCAGTAGAAGGAAAAATTTCCTAACCACAACAGGTATTTTAGAATAGGATCAATATGTCAACAAACAAGTACCTATGATGTGCTAGGAACTATGCTATGTATTAGATACACAAAATTGTGAAGGTCCCTGCCATCTGTCCACAGACAAGTGAAAATACCTATCATGTTCATAATAAATACAGTGATTTGGCAAGGAGGCACTAAAAACTGGGGGAATCAGGAAAAAGGAAATAGTGCGCAAGTTGAGCCTTGACGGGACCTAGGGGTTCCAAGAGGCAAAGGTGAGGAGAAAGCATTCCACCGTGGCAAAGCCTATACAAAGAATGGAGCTGTGAGACAGAATAGCAAGCAGGCCAGCTGGGCTGTACTACAGTGTGTGTAAATGGGGCATACAAAATACATAATCAGCCTAGAAGCGGAGGCTGCAGCTATACTGCAAAGAGTTTTAAACAGCACAGAGAAGTTTGGTTTTCCTAAAAGCAGCGGTGTGCCACTGAAGTTTCTTCAACAGGAGAGATGTGGTCAGACCTTCATTTTAGGAATATCGCTTTGGTGACTATATAGGGGACATCTTGGAAAGGGGAGAGGTAATGAGGATCTGGACTGAAGCGATCCTAACATGAATTCAGAGAAGGGGACAGACGGTAGAGATAGTGAAAAAGTAGAATTGCTAAAACTGGACATCGCAAGGTAAATGAGAGGGAAAAGGCATAGTTGAATGAGATTTTGAACCCTGACAACCAGAAGAACAGTGATGCCTTTGAATGTTTGAACTTATGAAGTTGTGAGTTCCTCCTAAGGAAGTGTTCAAACAGATACTGAATGATCACTTTAGACACATTTTAGATCACATTTAGATCACATTTCAGACAGGACTCATGCACTGGGTAGTTGGGATCACTTAGACAACTTCTAAAGTTCCTTCCAATTTAATGATTCATACTTACCACAACAATATTTATGAATAGTCTTCCCATTTCATGCACGAGGGGAAAAAGTCTCAGAAGAAAGGAAACTGCCCACAGTTCTCTATCATAGCAGTAGTGGAAAATGAACTGGAACCAGGAGATTCTGATGTAGTTGACCATTCAAGACATTTCTCTTTCTTGGGAACTCCCTGAAATGATCCTGATTGACCCTTCTGCCCACACTACTCAAAGAAAACTCACCTTGACTTGACTTTGCTCCAGATGGCGATTCTCCTTCTCCTCTATCTCTTGCTTGATGCTGCAGGAACCCAGTCCATCAGAACTCATCTTTCCCAACCACTGAATATTGGTCAGGCTATCATCCAGAAGACAGCCTGCTGCCTCACTTCCAGCTGTTGAAGAAATAAATCAGGGCATCTCTTTACCTGCTTGCCAGCTGTTCCAGTAGCTAGGTCTCCCTGATATCCAAACAGACAGTTGAGGAACATTCCCACAGTATTCAATACTTTGGAATCAGGGAGTCTGTGAATCTAAGATGGCCCTCAGTTGCTTTGTTCCATTCTAGATTTTGGGAGAAATTCAGCACAGTTCAACTTGGATCTTAACTCAAGACACCCTGAAAACTAGGCAATTTAATCTTACCAAAAAGCTACTCACTCAAGATAAGTTGCTTTCTGTCCCTGTACTTCAACATAAACTAAAAACTAATCTTATCTTCTTTGCAAGATCAACTTAAAGAATAATAAACAGAAAGTCCTCTATCAAATTAAGAAGGGATAATGGAAATACTGAATTTTAATAGCAGCCTCAGAACCCAGTTGCTAAGAACCAAGGTTTTAGGATCAAAGAACAGATTAATTTCTATTAGTTTCAGGCTAGATGTGATACATCCTAGGCATTAAATGTATAGTAAATGTAATGTGAACAAAAACCCTGTCATCAAAGATAGTTTCCCACTGTTCCATTTTGTCTAGTAATGTATACCAAGCCTCCCCACCTATTCGTTTTATGGATCACATACCACAGCCCTCCAGCTCCCATCCCCGACTGGAATGGGCTCCTAGTGGTCTGGGTAGGGTCACATCTCTAGTCACAGGTTTTGGTCCCATGCTCTCAGCTACCACTTCTGCCCTCTTGGCCACTTCATCTCCTTGGTTTGGGGGCTGGGATCCAGGAGGATGGGCAGGGGCCCGTCCACTGCTGATAAGGATGAATTTGTTGGGCCCGCTGCTACCGCTCTCTTTCCCTTTGGCAGTCAGGGCTGCAATGATGCTCTGGATATCTGTGTTGGTGGGAACTGCTACCACTTGGGTGTTTGGCATGGTGGGATGGTTGATGATCCTGATGCCTGTTGGAAACTTCTGAAGATCAGGTCCCGCCACCTCCCTGGATGGCTGTGTTTGGCCAGACTCCTGCTGAGCAGGAGTCCCTTTGGCCTCCTCCTTTGCTCCTTCACTTGGGGCATCACGAATAGGAAGGGGGAGTTTCCGTCTCTTGAGAATCAGGGGCCGACGGGGGCTAGTTTTCATCATGAATCTGTGCAATTGCTCTCCATTGAAAACAAGAGTAGAACCTATAAAAAACAAGGGGCAGTTTGACATGGACTGTGAGGTTGAGAAAAAAGTGCCTGCACAGAAAGGCATTCCTCTTCACAAGAGCAAATCTTGATCATCAGAATGAATCCAAAGAATTGCTATGCTTCTGTGACAAAAGAATTAGTCCCAACTAAACAGAAGTCAATTTTCGTCAAATATTAACCGCCCATTGGTAGTACAAGGCACTACACTTTGGTACAGAAGATACAAAGATCAAACTAGAAAACGTCCCTATCCTTGAGTGCTGACTTCAAGCCCACCAAGACCTGGGTTTGAGTCCCACCATTTACAAATACTGGCTTTGTAACTCTGGACAAGTCACTTAGTTTCTCATATTCTAGGCAATAAGGCCATAAGTTATAAAGATGGTTTTCTCATCTGGGAATTTCCTGAACTATTGAAATTATAGGTCCAGTCCTTAGCCCTATGGTGACTAAAGTAAAAGTAGGTATGTCTTCTTGTTTAATCCACTCTTATAGGGACTGGCTAGAAAGCGAATAATTAGTTTCTGGAAGATATTTTCTCCTACAGTGTAGGTGGTATCAACATTAAAATTTTTCTGATTGGCAAATCAAAGCCCTCCAGCTTATACTCTGTATCTTAAGTTTTACTTTGCCATGGAATTTAGTGTCTTATTTTACAATTACTATTAAATGTAAGCTAAAAATTGCTTCAGTTAAATTATTCTAATTAGTAGAGGGAATTCTGAATCTTTTTCTACAAGTACAAATGCATGTAATATTAATACATTTTCTGACAAGAAGAAAAAAGAAGATAAATTCATGGTCTGCAAGGAACATTCAGTCTAGTGGTAAGGAAGCAGATCACTGAAGCAAATGAAATGAAAAGTAAGACCTAAACTCCATCTATGGCTAAGTTACATTTAATGGCAAAATACATGAACCTAGATCTTCCTGATTCCAAAGCCAGCACTGTCTCCACTATGGCTTGTTGTTTTTAGTAGGTACATTTTCTTGATATAATCCCAGGGGTTAGAAAATTCACATTAAAGTTGTTACAATAAACTTTCAGCCTGAAGACGGTATCAAAGAGGGGGAGAAAATGGAGATTTTTATTTATTGTAGCCTAGCATAGAGGAAAAATGATGTATTTGGAGTCAGACAACTTGGATTTGAATTCTGTTTCTGCTATTCCTTAATTATAAGACCTTGTGAAAATCATAACCTTAGAGAATTTCAGATAGTTGAAAGGGACCCCAGAGGCCATCTAATCCAATCTACTCCTCACCCAAAAATATATTGGACAAGAGGTCATCCAGCTTTTATTTATAGATTTCCACTGAGAAGGAACCCACCACCTCGTAAGGCTTATGTTAGGAAGCTTTTCCTTATGCAGTCTAAAATTGACTCTTTGAAATTTCTACCAATTAATTTAAGTACTTTTAAGTTCTTTGTTCTGAAGTCAAACATAAGTCTAATCTCTCTTCTGCATGACAGTTTTTCAAATACTATTGATGGGGTGGTGGGACCCAGACCCCAAAAAGCCCTAAGACCATGTCTAAACAACCTAGAATCCCAGCTGCTTCCACCCACCCCACGAGAAAATTCTCCCCTTGTTGCAGAATTCATGCAGACCAGACCCTATAATTCCTTAGATAAAGGACAGACACAGCGGTGCCTGGCCCAAGGATTTTTGTCTCTGGCTGGCCCAAGGACTCTCCCTCAAGCCAGATCCCTGAGGTCCATGCTTCTGGCAGCTAAACAAAAACTGTCTTTTCTCCCTCAATGTCTGGTATCAACAAAGTTGTTTCTGACTCCCTATATTTTCCCATCCGTAGATCATTGACACCTGCTCCCAAAGACACCTGGACACCTTGCATTACCTAATTAGCAGCCTTAACATTGCTTTCCCTATTCTTTTTCTAAGCTTTAGATTCACAACTATTAAGTTGCAAGTTCCCCAAAGGAACTTAAGACACCTACTATTGCGGTTACAATAAAACTTCTGTCACTTGACTAACAGAAGGCTTGAATGTGTGAATTTGCTCCCGGCAACTCTGCATTCTCGGGGTCCCGTCACCCCAAATCTCTTCACTATCATATCCCCCTAAGTTTTCTCTTCTCCCAACTAAACATAACCCAGTTCTTCACTGATCTTTGTGTTGCCATCATCTCAATATTCTTCACCATTCTGGCTCATCATCTCATCTCCTTGGGAGGGATACTAAGTATAGCTCCTAGAACTAAACACAATGCTTCAGATGTATTCTGATCAAAACCTCTTTGAGCCTCAGGTTCTCAATTTGTAAGGTTCCCTTTAGGTCTCCATCTATAAACCCATAGCAATGCTAACACTATAGATTTGTATAGTGTTTTATTTTTTTTTAAGTATCTAATTATCTATTACCTCATTTAATTTGTGGAACATCCCTTCAGGGTAGCTATTAGCTTCATTTTAAATTAAGAAAACGAGGTATAGAGAAATGATTTGCTCAATTTCTACAAGTTAGTGGCAAGGTCAGGACTAAAATTCAGGTCTCTGATGCTTTTCTTCATGCTATGATAGCTGTGTAAGACAGGAGAAAGGAAACATTTTCCTTCAAATACTTATTTGGGAAGACTAATCCCTCATATGTATGTCACTACTAGGAAGTGTCATCCTGGAAATCAGAGGAATTCTTTTTCCTGGGTCCCTGCTATACAACTCTTGACTTTATAGGCATTTGACTAGATGACCTGGGTCTCCCACGAGCTCTTCATACCTTTTAATTTCTTGGACCTAAGTTCTCACTTCTTTCAGGTTCCTCCAATTTTACCTTTTCTCCAACCTCTCTTAAGTTCCACCTTTCAAAAATTGCCCCCCTCCTCCCATAACCACCAGCTCCTGCTTCTTTCTTTTCAACATGCCCTTTCCCAAAAAAGTAAGTCTTATTGCTTCCTTCCACTCTCCAACCCTAGCTCAATTATGGATTCGACTGCACCCATATGACCCAGTGTTAAAACACTGAAGGGGATACATAAAAGATGAAACAAAATTTAGTTCTCGTCTTCAAGGAATGTAAAACTTAATAATGCACATTTGTAAATAATAGTAATACAGGGTCTAAGGTGCACAATAAACATCAAACAAGTGCCAAGAGGTTTCAACATCCAAGGTCCTTTCGAGAAAGCCCCCCCCCCACTGAACAGAGGAGGCCACGATACACCCAGCAAGGGAGGCCGGGGGTTCTGGGATTACAGATGTGGTCACTGAGCCCAGCCGGCTCCTGAAGCAGGGGGCTGGGGCGGCACTGGCAGAAAGTGGCCGAGCCGGGATCGGGCCCGCAGTGGAAGAGAGCGCTGGCCGCCGGTCCGGTGCAGTGTCAGGCCCGGCCGCACCATCTCCTGAGGCTGCGGCACCTCGGGGACTGCCTCCTCCGGGTCATTCATTTCCCCGGTAAGGACAGGGGGGTCGGGGCCTAGCAGCCGGGGCGGAACTGGCATCCAAGCTCGAGCCCGCGACCCTCTGTCCGGGGCTCCCCGCGGCCGCCCAGAAGCTGGGGACCGGCGGGGGCCCATTTTAGGGAGGGTGGCTGCGGAGCCCAGCCCCCTCCCCGGCCCAGGGCTCCCACCCTGCCTGGTTCCCTAGGGCCCTCCTGGGGAGGGGGGCAGGCCGGAGACCCCTTCCCTCCCCCTTCGGGAGCAGAGGCCACCCCCCACCCCGGCCGCCCCCGAGGTCCTCTCACCTCAGCACCGCGGCAGCTGCCTCCACCACTGCCCCAGGGCAGGCCTCCCTTTAGCCTCAGCCCGCCGGGGCCGAGCCAGGGTCCAGGAGCAGGCCCCGGGCCGCTGGGGGCCAGGTCGGCCAGGTCCCCGGCTGCGGGGGGGAGGGGTGGGGTCGCCGGGAGGGGGGGAGGGGGGAGTCCTAGGCCAGGGGAGGGGGAGGAGGGGGATAAGGGGGCTTTCGGTTTGTTCCGCGGTTTGAAATTGGCGCCGGCGGAGCGTTGCCGGTCACGTGACGCGGGCGCCGCCAATCGGGGCCGAGCGTCGTTTAAGCGTTCGGGCCGCAACTCGGCCCGGGCTGTCAAGGGGCCGGGGCCGGGGTCGGGGCCGGGGGCTGAGCGGCCGGAGGCTCCCGGGTGAGGGAGGAGGGCGGACGTGGGAGGGGGCCAGGCACAGCTGAGCCAGGCCGGGCGGACTTCCGGGGCTGGCTAGGGGGGCCGGTACGCGGGAGGCGGCGCCAGGTGCCCGAGCTCCTCTGTCCGAGTCCCGCTCCCTGGGATCCCCTTTTCACAAGCTCGAGTTTTTGTTCCAGGTGCTTTCTTCATTGGAGGAATTGCACTCACCCAGCGTAAGTTACCATGCTGCCTCCCCCCTTCCCCCCACCCCTTCTTAGAGCAGCACCTTGCTTTTCCTGCAGCGCTAATCTATGCTGTTTCCTTGAGTCCTTCCTGCCTTTTCAGGTTGGTGGTTCTGGGACTTAGATGGTAGCCCCCCTTTCACCCTGATAGCGCTGATTAGTCCGGCCGAGTTTGTGTGGGCTTTGCTTCCCGGGCCAGTGATCGATTTTCTTTTCATGCTTGTTTTGTTGTTTGGTCTCCAGGGATGGGTGAGGATCATTGCCCGTCTCCCCGACGTATTACCCCTGGCAACATGAGGCTACTCACTGTCCTTCCCTCCTCGACTATTGATGCCTCGCAGGAAGAAATGCAAAAGTCAGCCCCGGAAATCCCAACTGGCATTCCGAGAAGGGCCTCTGGAGGGACCCAAACATCCCTATGGATCCCCACAGCCAGCCGCAGCTCTCCCAAGGCATGCTCCAGTCAAACCAATAGACCACAAGACCATCACTTCTTGGGTAGGGCCAGTGAGTTCTTACACTAGGTGCATTTGATACAAGAGGGCTCTGCAGTTCTGTATTTGACCCATATCGGGAGAAAGGTCACCCACCACCCACTTAGTGGTACACTGGGACAAGAGGCTGTTTCTGTCTGTTGCTATCTGCCATTCCTAAGCCATCTATTGAAACTGCTCAACCAACAGCTCTTCCCATAAGTTGTAAAAATGGGTAGATTCAAATATCTTGGTGAGGGGAGAGCTAGATAATTGGGGGTTGATCAGGAAATAGCCAGTCAGAGGGAGAATTGTTGACATTTCGACTGACTTTACTTTGCATCTCTTTTTAAAGAGCGGTGGGGAATTTTGGCACATTGTGTTCATTTCTTCTCTGGAAGGTCTCCCCCCCCCAAAAAAAAGAATAAACAGTAGTCTGAAGATTCAGTAGTATATGCTTTTGCTTTGGTGTTCCCTTGTTACTGTTAACCCTTGGTGGCTGGCCTGATAAATCAAGACATTACCTACCCCAATTAGTTATCTAATTCCTTCAGGAACACGAGTTTCAACCCCCATTCTTCCTTTTCTTTCTCCCAACCGCTGATTCATTCAATCAGCAAGCATTTATTAAAAGCTTTAATTGACAGGCACTGGGGATACAAAATACAATTAATTAAACAATTCCAACTTGGGAAGTTGTTTATATTCCAAAAGATAAAACAACATGTACATGCATGTATGTGTTCATATCTGTCTAAACAAACATGCATTCACATACATATGGAAAAATAGAATACAAAATAGTTAAATACAAGTAGTTTAGGGAAGGCATTAACGTGGGGGGATCCGTACATGTACAAGGTGGTGCTTGGGTTGTGTCTTAAAAGAAGAGAGGGATTCTAAGAGCAGATATGAAGAGGAATTGCATTCAAGGCCCGATGGCAGCCAGTGAAAAGAATGGAGAGAGGTTGTCTTGTTTGAGGAACAGAGAAAAGGTCAGTTTTGGTTGGACTGCGGGAGGTGGAATAATGTTCCCTGAGGCTGGAAAGATGGTTTGGGACCAGGTTGTGAATGGCTTTAAAAGCTAAAGTTATTATTTTATATTAGGGGCAATTGGGGTGTATTAGAGTTGACTGAGTAGGAGAGTGACAAGGACCAGAAAAAGGGTTCCAAGCACTCTTAAAAATGCAGTGTCTGATGATAAAAGTAGCCACATGATGGGGAATGATTTTTTCATTGGTCCCAGATAATGTATATTCTTCTTTAGGTACATTGTTTACTGTTTAATAGCTTGCTACAAAGTAACATCCATACTTGACAGTCTTAACAGTCTAAAGACTGCTGAAAGAGTTTTGGGTTATGTTGTGAGAAGTAGAAGTTAAGAGCAGGGGCCAGTTTTGGACTTCAGCTCCTGCTTAGAGTGCTTTAAAAAATGACTCGTTAGAAGTTGCTGCAAAAGCAATAATCCATACTCTCGGAACAGGGTAGATACCCAATAAAAAAAAATATTAACTCACAAATATACAGTGCTTTAAAGTTTGTAAGTTGTTTTTCCTCATAAAAATCCTGTAACTTCATAGGTTTCAAAGCTCCTGACTCCAAGTCTGGTGCTCATAGCTGTAGAATATGCTGATTTTAATGTAGATAGGCTCTCGTTTTAGAAAATTTGGGTATTATATCTGTGGCTTCTTGAATGGAGACAAAGTACTTTTTAGAGGTATTCTTGGGTCTGGGCTGACTGCTTCTGTTTGTTTCTTAGGTGTCTCCTCAGTTTGATAATACAGGAGGCTGGTTGCCAGTCTACCAGAAACAACATCAGGTGCCTTACAATCTTCGGAATCTGGCAAAAGGTTCAAGTCGAAAAGCAACCAAGAATAGGTTTCCACCTCTGTCCTTTGAGAGTTCAGTGTCTTCCTCCAGTGAAGCTGCTTTGGACAATCTCTCAGTTATGGACTTTCCTATGCAGTGTCCAAAGGACACTGCCAGAAGGCCCTTGATCCCTCTATTCAGTCCTCAAAGCTATAGGGAATTGTCTTCTCATGACCTTCAAAATTCAGGTTATGTGGTTATCCCGCCTGATATCCAGACCCCAGAGCAGTCCCCTGTGAAGGATATTCCCACAGACCAGAGGCAGCCTACGAGAAGGAGCTTCCCCCTCCTAATGGATCCTCCCAAGAGCCCAGACCCTAGCCCTGTACTGGTTGCAGACACACCGGAGGAGAAATATGGGCTCAAGGTAACTTGGAGACGACGATACCAACTTCTTACATGCCTCAGGGAAAAGGGGAAATTGAGCATGAGCCAGTTTTTTGTGAAGACATGAGTGGAACCTTGAAATATTGATTTTTTATCAATAACTTGGATCCAGAAGGGCAGAAATTTACATTGCCCCATGGATGGTTTTTATAGTGCTGCTAATCCAATTTCTGGCTCTTGAAGATATCAAATCAACAGACTCAAGTGTGATTTAGGACCCTTGGGGTCCCTCCAGTTGATTTAATAGGGAACCATATGCCCCAAAATCATCATGTGAACTAAAGCTGAAGTTCCCTAATGTGTTTTTTGGTGTTGCTAGTTAGTGGCATAGCATACACAAACCATTATTTTTATATTTTTCTTCCTGCTATTTATCCAGTTTAAAGATAATTCATAGCACAGGGAAAATGGTCGTTTAATATTTTCAACAAATTGTAAATATGCACTTAAGGGTGGGAAGATAACTTTTAGAAAGTATTAAAAATGTGTACAAATAAATGTGGAAAACTATTAGTGAATGCTGCCTCTTTTTGCCTGTAGTAGAGCAGTATTTCATATTTAACAAAAGAAAGCCTCTGGCTGGTCAGGAGAGTGCAAGTTTGGGGTTCTCCTGATGAGACTGGAGAGCTCAAGGTAGTCAAAGGCAGGTCTAAGACAGAGCAAAGGAAATTCAGTAGATGACCAGAGGAAGAGCAGATTTAGGCCGGGTAGAAGGGAAGAGAATAAGCATTTATGAAATGCCTAATATATGTGCCAGGTGCTGTGCTAAGCACAAGGACAGTCCAGATTTCAATAAGGTGTATATATAGTTAAGCTTTGCATAAATAATATCAGACAACTTACTCTCATTTTAGATTAGGAAAAGAGAAGGGATATGGGTTTAATTTACAAACATTCTCTCATTTGTTCCTCAAAACCTTCGAGGTAAGTGCATTATTATTCCTGTGTTACAGTTGGGGAAACTGAGGTAAACAGGTTAAATAACTTGCCCAAGGTCTCACAGCTAAGTAAGTGTCTGAAGGGAACTTCCTGACCCTAGATGGGACAGAGCTCCATCCACTGGACTACTTAAGATAGGTCTTTGACCTATTCAGAGTAAGTTGGAGAACACTGGTGCTTCGAAGGTGGGCTTGGTGGTGGCCAAGATTCCTACAGGTCAGCCCCAGGGCTAGAAGCAGAACTGGTGGGCCGCTCCTCCGGGCAGGGACGGCACCTAACCCCGCCAGAGTTGGCCGCTTAGCCACGAGAATAGAGGTGGCTATGTGGCCCGGTGGAGGGCGAGCTGTGGACGCGTGGTGAGAGGGAAGGCTATGTCCGCCGCCGTGCCTGCCCCTTGCGGGCTGCGGCTGCTGGGGGCGTTGGTGTCCCGGACCCCTTCCTTTCCCCCACAGCGCCGGCACCTAGCCCCCGGACCGACAGCTCCCACGCAGGCGCTCTGCGCTCCCTCGCCCCTTCCCCTCCTTAGAAACCCTCCCGCATCGCCGGACGGGCGCGACAGCCAATGAAGCGGCAGCGGCGGCGCTCCGGACCAATGGGGGGTGGCGGTGGTGCGGGGTCCGGTTGCCAGGAGGCGGGCGGCGGCGGCGGCGGCGGCGGCGGCGGCGTCTGGAGCCGGGGTCGGGACCGCCGGGATTGGATGCAGCTCTCGCTTGCCGAGCGGCTCGGCATGGAAGCGGCGCGCCACAGACTCGGGCCCGGCGGGGATAGGTCAGCGCTGGGTAGTGGTCGGTCTCCCCCTGGGATCGGGGAGAACGGTGCTTGGCTGTGGAGGTCGGAGCTGAGTGGTCAGGCCTGGGGGCGACGGCTGGGTGGGCTGGCGGCGGGAGGGAGGGGCGCGAGGAGCCCCGGGGAGCCGGAGCTGGGGCCGGGCCGGCAGCGCTGCCCCCACCTCGGAAGCTGCTCCTTCTTGCCCGTTCTCCGCCCTGAAAAGGAGGGGTCGCATCTTCTAGTTCTGCCGGCACTAGGCCTCATTTTTTCCTCGTTGGAGGATAAAACGAGGATCTGCTTCCAAGAGATGCTGTATCCAAATAATATCAATAAAATAAAATCGAATGTGTTCGTTTTTGAGGACGTCGAGGCAGAAGCGTTGTTGGGTAGGATCTAGTAAATGACCCTAACTTCGAAGCTTTTTGGACGTTACCAGGAGGCTAAAAGTGCAAATTTAGTTTGCAAATATAAGGTATTATTAGTTCAGAATTATTCGGGATCTTTGCCTTACCCAGAACCTTTACTTTTCCGGCAGAGGGAGAGTTGGGGAAATAAAATCATCTGAAATCTGTTTTCCTTTGTTTAACTTACATTCATATAGCCTGTCAGTTTGCAAAGAACTTTCCCCATAACAGCGTGATGTGAGTAGAGTAATGGTTAATTACACCTATTTTACAGATTAGTAAACTGAGGTTCTAAGATTAATTGGTATGTGCTTGGTCTTCGGTTCTGATGCTTTCCACTACGCCAGATTGCTTTCTTTATGAGGTGTTGAGAGGGCAGCCTGAGACTTGAGAATACTGAAATCTTTGGAGAAAGACATTTAGCTTATCTGTAAACCTAAATCAATGTGTTTCCTTACAGATAAAGATCTGGTCCGTATAAATTTTAATTACATGCAATCAGAGAAGTTGAATACTTCCCCTGTAATTTCTCGTTCCTTTCCAAACACACTGATTTCTAGGGAGCTGTGGATTCAGCTCCTTTGGACAGAAAAATAAATTAGTGAACATATTTTGGAGAGTACATTTGGCTGAAAATGGTACTTAATAAAAGATGGGTCCTTTTTCCCTTCCTCCTTACTGAAGGGTACTACACATAGTAGGTGTTCAAATATTTATTAAATGAATATTTAATACTCAAGGATCTTTGATTCCATTTGGTATGAGTACTCCCTGCACTGATGAAGATGACAATTCCTTTAACTGCTTAATAATTGATGTTCATGATGAGTTGCTCTGAATAGACTTAATGGTCGTAGGAAGGATGGAGAAAAGAGACAACCCCTTCTTCAGTCAAATTCCATTCATTTGGCATTCCCAGAAACCTATTCACTGATTTAATTACTTATTTTACTTTTCAAAGCAGCTATGTTCATACTTTTTTCTTCTTAGACTTCAATGTATTTGGAAAAGGATGAAAAATATTCTACTTCTCTGATTGCATTTATTGAGTGAATGCAAGATGTCACACACACAGTAGGTATTCAGATATTTATTGAAGGACTAAAACTTCAGGCATCTGTGGTTTCATTGGTGTGAGTGTTCCCTCTTGATGTAGATGACAATTCCTCTCATTACTTTCTTTAGTAATTTATCTTAGCATGTTGCTGTGAGTAGACTTAATGGTATTGTGTGACTAGAAAAAAATTGTGTTTTCATGTTCAGTGTTTTGGTGATGAACCTCTCAAGACTTAGCTAGACAAACATCAGTCTGCTGGACGGATTAAAGTCTAGCTTGGAAGAACCTGCTGTGCTAGAGCCAAGGTCATCACCCCACCCCACCCCCAAGCAGGACTTTGGTGGAGGTTTGAATGAATTAATGAATTTAAAGTTTTATTATGTGGGTATTAGTTAATGTTTCACATAACTAATGGCCTTTAAAAGCAGGTTTTTATGATCCAGTAACCAGGAGGTAAAAGATTTTTAATTCTCTGAATCTGAAATCTAAAGAGATAATTTTTTGGAGGAGTGAAAAGGGAGGGAAGAGAGGAATGACAGGCAAGAGGGAGCAGTAGAGAGAAAAGAAAGCTTTTATGAACAATGTGGGAATGTCCACTGGAGATTGTTTTCTTAAAAAAAGAAATCTTACCTTTAAAAATGAAAAATGACACCAAAGGATAATTTTTGAATCAGGTAAGTTTTTTGTTTCTGCTCAGTAATAGTAGTATAGCTTTCTGTTGCTGTTGAGTTCATCTGTGGCTTAGAGAGTGTGAACTGACTTTGGCTTTTAGGTTTCAGATTTTTTATTTTTTATCAGAGATGTGGACAAAGAAATGCTTTTCATTTAGGGGTGATAAGTAAGGGGTCAGCTAGGTTCAAAAAATTATAGATGTATATTAAGAGTAGGAGTAATCCATAACCTAAACAAAATTTGTACTTGGTCTATTTTGCCTTGAAGTGCACCTGTGCCTATAATAAATAGAAAAGTCTTCAAAGCAAAATTAAACCTTCCCTAAATCTTAAATTAGAAGCCAAGTTTGTGATTTTGTTAGGGATTAAATCACAGGACCCTTTTGGGAATTGACTGTTTTGTTGTATAAATTTCTTCCTCATGGTAGGGCTTGGCTGAACCATGTTCTTTTGATGAAAGAGGAATTAGGATTTGTTGTGGCTCATTTTCAGACCTGAAAATTCTTATAATGGAATTCATTCATTAGCTATGATTTCTCTTTAGATGTTAAAAATAAAACTTCAATTTCTGCTGGGATTTTGCCCAAAGTAAACTTTTTCATTTTCTTTCTCTCCTTTAGCTCCTCAGAGTTTACTCAGATTCGTAAATTGTTGTTGCAAAATATACATCCCCCATGTTTTGAAAATACTTAGTAAATTATTTTGATAGCAGATACAAAGTGCTACAGCAAATGGATAAAAAACAAGCATCCTGTTTGGGTTTTTTCCCAATTTTTGAGTCCTACAGAACTAGAAAGGTAGTTTCTGTGTGTTTGGTTATTTTTGTTCCTTGGTATTGTTAATGGAGAAAAATTGGACATTTCTGGGTCTCCTAACCTTTGATTTTGGGTAGCTCTACTGTTGTCTTTCTGTGTGAAATTATGTTGTTTCTTCTGTATTTGTTTCTTTCCAACTTGATGCTTCCTCTTAGTAGAAAAAGTAAAAAATCCCTAAATCGTTCAGTAGATTAGAAACTTCATTTGTACAATGAGAATGATGATGATGATGATAGCCAGGTACTATGCTAGGGCACCTCACAACAACTTTGGGAGGTAGATACCATTATCCCCATTTCACAGAAAGGGAAACTGAAGCTAACAGGTTAAGTGACTTGCCCAGGGTAAGACAGCTAGTAAGTGTCTGAGGCCTGATTTAAACTTAGGTCTTCCTGATTCTAGGCCTGGCATTCTATTCATTGCTTCACCTAGCATTTGAGAATCATGCACACAATTCATTTAGTCTTTCTGCTATTTTGAAGTAGGGTAACAGTGAAATTAGCAAGGCTTTTTTTATATGGAAAATCTGTGGCATATTTATATCTACTGCTTTTTATCTAGTCACTGGAAATAATCTACTGCCACTAAATCTACTGGTTTTTACCTTATTAAGACTTTCTTAATGATTGTATAATGAATAAAGCTTTCTGACTTAGTTAAATCTTGAACTCTTTTCTGTCTATGAAGATGTTAATTTTTCTCTTATAGACCGGACCATTAAAGTAAATATCTAACACAAAGAGACAGAATAGTTTACAAGAACAGGTCAAGCTAGACTTAACATTTTTTCTTGACAAGATTACTAAATTTGTATATGAGGGTAATACTAGAGGTAGAGTTTGCCTAGAAGTATAAAAAAAATTGGTGAAGTAGCTCACATTTTGTAGAAAAGATGGTAGAGATTTGAACCTGGAAATAATTCTGTTAGATGGATTCTAAGCAGTTAAATAGTTACACTTAAAGAATAGTTGTGTCACCTTAACAGGCAGTGTTTAGTGATGTGCTCCAGGGATCTTCACTTGGCCATATGCCTTTTAACATTCCTATCACTGATTTGGATGAAGACATAGATGGCATGGTTGTAAAATTGGCACGTGACAAAAGTCTGGGAGGGATAGTTAACACACTGCAACAGTCAGGATCCAAAGAGATCTTGATGGGCTAAGGCAGTGGTGTTAAACTCAAATAGAAACCAGGAAGCATATTTATTTAGAAAACCACAAATTAACATTATGTTGTATTGCATTTTTACTTATTTTGTTAAACATTTCCCAATTACATTTTACTCTGGTTCCAGCAGCATTTAGGAGTTTTGTGAATTAGACATTGGGCCTAAGCATTGAGCCAAATCTAATCTTCTTGAGTACAAGTTGGAGGAGGGATTAGAAAGCAATTTGTCCGAAAAGTGTTGGAGGAAGGCTTTTAATGAAGTACAAGATCAATACAAGTCACATGTATGATATGGCAGCTAAAAATACTAAAAAAAGAACTTAAGTTACATCAAGAGACATAATTTTCATAGATAAAGAGGTATTTATTCTGCCTTAGTCAGACCACCTTTGGAATTTCCTATTTGGTTCTAATTACCCTGTTTAAAAAGTACATTGAGGGCAGCTACGTGGCGCAATGGATGGAGCACTGGCTTTGGAGTCAGGAGGACCTGAGTTCAAATGCGACCTCAGACACATAACACTTAATTAGCTGTGTGACTCTGGGCAAGTCACTTAACCCCACTGCCTAGCCAAGAAACAAAACAGAACAAAAAAAGTACATTGAGGCCAGACTTGGTGGCACATTTTTGTAATCCAGGGAAAGCTGAGACTGGTGGATCCCTTGAGTTCCAGAGTTCTGAGCTGTAGTAGGGAAAAAGCTGAGGGTGTATCCGGCATTAAACTGGTAAGCCTTTGGGAGGAGGACCACCAGGATTCCTAAGTAGGGTCAAATTGACTCTGGTCAGAGCTTCTGTACTGGAATGGGACCTGTGAGTAGGCTCTGCTCTCCTTTCAGCCTGGATGAGATAGGCAGACCTTGATAAGCTGAAGAATGTCTGGAG